GCTTTTTCCTCCGGGGGCGGCCGGCTGGTGCGTATCGGCCGCCGGCACGGCAGCCTTTCCCTGGGGCGAGGGGCGAAGGAGGCCTGGCTGGGTGGGTGAGACCCCAGGGAGGTGACTTGCACCGCCCCGCTGAACTGCGATACCCAGCTCTGCTTTTACCCCCGCAGTCAACGTAAAGCTCCCACGAGCGTAAGCCGAGCGGAGTGCGTGTCTGTGCCGCGGGTGCTGGCGGTGCCCAGGGCTCCAGCGTGCTCCCGGCGGTGCGAAACGCAGCAATGAGCCAGTCATGTTCCTGCCTCCATTTTACAGGCTGCCCCGCTGGGGCATCTCAAAGCAGCACGCAGACAAAGCCAACGCTATCACCAAGGGGGGAAACTGAGGCGTGAAGCAGTCATGGGAGTAAAATGCAGGGCTCCCGGGTGCTGGCTGCGTGCCCTCACCCCTGAGTCTGCGTGGGCCAGGGGGGTCCCTGCCTGCCCGCTCCTGGGCAGTGGGACGTGCTCACCCCGTCCCGGTACCCACGCCTCTGCCGTGAAGCAAGCCCTGGCTCCCCAGCAGGAGGGAGGACTGACCGCGTAAGCAGGACGAAGGATGTGGTGACTGCGAAACACCGTGTCAGCTCTGCAAACCACCGCACCGTCACCACCGCGGACAGGTCCACCACCACCTCCTCTTTACAAATGAGTAAACCAAAATCCAAACCCTGGCTTCCAGGCTGCTAATCCACAGGGAGGAGGCAGCCTCCATCCCCTGGGCATCTCGCACTTCGGCTTCCCCACGCTGCGCCTAGCAAGGAACCTCAGTGCTGTGGAGCAGAGCCAGCAGCTTTCCCTGATTTATACTCCTTCTCCCGCTACAAGCAGCTTCTGTGGAGTTCCTGTCCTACCCCCAAGGAAGGCGCTGGCTCCTGCCACACTGAGATAAGCCGCTTGCCAGTGTCAGCGCTCTGGAGATAAGTAAGCAGGAGGCGTAGTTTGATTTGCACTGATTAAGCTGCTGGTGGAGGTGAAATCTAGCAAATAAAACCAGCCACAGTGAGGACCTAAACATTTTCTCCTCACTGATACTTCGGGGGCAGCAATATTGAAAATATTTGTGTTTGTAAAAGTTTTCAACCAAGAGTTGTGGGGTTTTTTGGTTTTGTTTTGTTTTTTTCTTTTTTCCTTTTCATTTTTTCTTTCTATAACCCTTTCTAAGAAGGGTGGGGTAAGGAGGGCACTGAGCTGCCCCGTACTCTGGGGCCATCCGCGCTGCAGGAGGGTAGGGGAGGAAGGGGGCCAGAGGTATGGGAAGCTTGAACAGCTGGGTTACACTGTCCTTAGAGGATTATTTTATTCCTCCATTGGACAAATGAATTGCTGCATAAAAGTCGTAATCACCAGAGCACAGAAACACCCACTATTTTACCCACCAAGGGAGGACAGATGTGGGGTGAAAGGGTTAAGCCGGGAGCTGAGGTCTGAACATGAAGTCTACCTCCCCTGCAAGCACTCAGCGAGCTGTAGCCGAGCTTCAAAGGCACGAAAAGGAAGTTTGGGGCCTAAACTCCCACTGACAACAACTGGGGTCAAGCCTGAGACTGCCATGTGGGCAACCAAAAACATCCCTCCGTGCTTCCAGACGCCCGTCCGCCAGGCGGAGAGGACAGCACGGCATGTGCAGAGGACGTGTTTGGGAGGCGCTCAGACATGTGGAACACATAAGAGTCTAAAAAACCAGCAGATCACACCCTTCAGAAAATATTCCTCTGTCCCCGGGTCCCCCGTTGTCATTTATGACTGAACTTCGGCATGGTGCAGAAGGAATCTGAAACCCTTTTCCGAGCTGTTGGCAGCCGCCCTCCTCCCCAACCTCCTCCCTCGGACACTGCCGGACTGTTGCCGGCGCTCCAATCCTTTCCTATTTTATCCTCTCTGCTACCAAACCTCACAGTGCTCTGTTCGTTAACTGCAGCTCCGTTTCCCTTCGATGATTAACTCCAACTGTCCAAACACGCGGGGCTCTGGGGGAGCTGTTCAGACGCCCAAATGTAGGCG